CCGTAGGTGATGATGTTGGGCTCCAGCTTCGCTGTCGCAATCTCGCCCAGCAGCGCCAAAACCTGCCGCCACTGCTGCCGCCTGCTCTTCTCGCACGCGCTCTACACAGCGCCGTTGGCGAAGATGGCGGGCTCCAGCTTCGCGACCACAAACTCGCCCAGCAGCGGTGCTGCCTGCTGCCACCGCCGACGCCTGCTCTTCTCGCACGCGCCGTTCACCGTGCCAGAGCTGATGAACGTGGGCTTCAGCTTCGCGACCGGGGCCTCGACCAGCACCGCCACGTCCTGCTGTCACTGCTGACGCCTGCTCATCACGCACGCGCTCTTCACAGCGCCGCAGGTGATGATGTTGGGCTCCAGCTTCGCTGCCGCAATCTCGCCGAGCAGCGCCGCAACCTGCTGCCACTGCTGCCGCCTGCTCTTCTCGCACGCGCTCTCCACAGCGCCGTTGGCGAAGATGGCGGGCTCCAGCTTCGCGGCCACAGTCTCGCCCAGTAGCGGCACTGCCTGCTGCCACTGCCGACGCCTGCTCATCTCGCACGCGCTGTTCACAGTGCCGTACGCGGTGATGTTGGGCTCCAGCTTCGCGACCAGGATCTCGCCCACCAGCGCCGCGGCCAGCTGCCACTGCCAGCGCCTGCCCTTCTCGCACCAGCTGTTCAGGATGACGTGGGTGGCGATGTTTGGCGCCAGCTTCACGATCAGCGGCCGCCGCCAGCGGCCCGCCAGAGGCGGCCGCGGCGGCGGCGGCGGCAGCGGCGCTCGTCGCAACGCCGCCACCAAGCGCCCTGCAGTCGGCACGTCTACCTCGGACATGCTGAACCACATCGGAATGCGCCGGCGGCTGTCAGGACGCGCGCGATCATGCCGCGCAGCGCAGCGGAGGCACGAATACGTCTTATCAGTATGTCGCAGGCGCGGCGGGACCCGCGCTGGTGGCAAACGCGCGGCGGAGCCGGTGCGACGAGCTGCCCCTGCCCACGGGGGCAAAGTAGCGCGCGCCAGCCCGCCGACGGCGCCCCGGGGCAGTCGCTGCTGCGCGCGTCGACGCGCTAGCGCGTCTCCGTCCGCGCGGGGGCGCTGTCGGGGCGGCGCGCAGGCAGCGCGCTGCCGCGCGCCAGGCAACGCAGCGCCGCGCAGGATAGTCTCCGGGACCTGGCGCCACCGCACATTAGAGCGTCGCAGGCGCGCTGGACCCGTCATCGGCTGACTCGGGGGCCTCCGACCCCAGCTCAGCGATCAGGCCCGCGATTAGACGACCCGCCCTTCACGAAAGGACCCCCGCCAGCAGCAGCGCCAGAACGCATCGGCGCCCGCGCGCGCGACGCAAGCAAATCGAGGTCCAAGACATGGCACTCGCTGGCGAGCTGCAGCACCGAGGCGGTGGCCTCTGCTATTTCCGATCCGACATTGGCCTCTCGGAAGGCCAATGTAGCCGCAAGGGTCAGCGTCTGCGAGAAGCGACGTGGAAGTTGAATGGGGAGGCGGCTCTGCGTCGCGGCCGCAGAGGCGCGCGCCCCCCGGGATCTTCGCGGCGCCCTCGGCGACCATGAGCCCGGCGTCCCGGCTGCCCGCGAACGCATCGCAGGCCGCCGCCACCTGCGCGCGCCCGCCCTCGACGCCCCTCCATGCGGAGCTCGCGTCGGCGAGGGGGCATCGATGAGCGACTGGCCCAGCATCTCGAAATCTTGCTCCGCGATGCTCTCGGCCGCGCGCGGGGCCGCCATTTCCTCGAAGGCCTCGTTCGCCGCCGCGGCGAGATCTGAGGGGCCCCTGCTCGCGGCGCCCATATCCGCCCGCACATCGCCCCTGACGCAGGCGCGCGTTGCTCGAGCAGAGGCGATCTCACGGCGCAACGCCCCGGCTGGGCCCGTTGCCGCGCCAATGGGCACCCGCGCGGGGAACGCGCAGACGCCCGCGGCGAAGCCCCTGGCCCGGCGCCGCGGCGCCGACGCGCGTCGTCGCGGGAGCCGGGGCCCCGCCCCGCCTCAAAGATAGCGCGCTCGAGCGGCCGCAGCGGCGGGCGCAGCTACAGCGGCCGCGCGAAGTCGCGGCCGAAGTGGGAGAAGTGAACGCTCGCGGAGGCCAGCGGAGCGACGCTGAAGATCCCGAGGTCGAGCTTGCCGGGCGCCCCGATGCACTCGCCCGCGCCCCGGCCGCGCGGCGCGCCCGCTCCGCGGGGCAGCGCAGCGGGAAGGGCGCGCCATTGCACGGCGGCGGCGCGGGGCCCAGAGCTTGCCCAACAACGACGGGCGCAAAAGACCCCGCATCCGTCTAGGCCGCCCAGGCGGTGGAAGACGCGCACGTCGCCGCCCATCCGCGATAGAGGGCGGCGAGCGAGTCGCGGCCAGCTGCCAGCGCGCCCGCGCCCGCAGCGAGGCGACGCAGCATAGCATCCGTCTGTCTCTGCAGACAGCCCCGCGGCTCGGGCCCCGGCAACCGGCCGGGGCAATTCCGGAACCCCGAAACTCCATCGGCGGCGCGGCTGCTAGAATAAGAAGGGCGTCGGTCTGGGAGTCAGACAACACCCCGGCGCGCGCGGCGGCATCCTTGGACGCGACCGCGGCGCTAGCCGCTGGAGATCGCTTCGGTGGTCTTCCCCCCCCAACATCGACATGGCGGCGCCCAACTGGCCCGCGGCGGCAGCGGGGGCCGCGCGTCGGCCCTGGCCAGAACGACCGTGGCGCGCTCAATCAGGAACGCATGGCTCGTGGCCCACTTGTCCTCGCGCCAGGCGCCCAGGCATAAGTCGCCGGCGGCGTCTGCTCTCGCATCGCTCTCTGCGCGCGCGCAGGTGCATGCCCAGAGGCCCTTTCGCTGCATGCTCGGACTGAGCCCGAGTGAAGAGCGGCGGATGCGCGGCGCGACGCGGCGCGCGCCGGGGCCGTCTGGCACGCGCTCGGTGCCCAAGCATCAGCAATATGCCGCTCTGGTGGAGGCCGCCTAGATGGGGCCCGAGTAAATGGGGTTGGAGGATCGCGCCGCGTCGCCACGGCGTGCGTCGGCGCTGCCGTGAGAAGACGTAGTGCGCGCGCGTGGGCGCTCAGGCGCAGGGCCATGCGGTTGGCGGCGCACGCTCCCATTCTGACAGACGCGAGCTCGCGTGGGTCCAGGGGGCAACGCGGCTCTGGCAAACAGCTTCGACTTCAAATTCCCTGTCGCTCAGAGCCTCGCGAGGGCATTGCTTAACGCACCGCTGCTCATGCGTCTTGACGTGCGCGCGCGTGTGTAGTGCGCGTGCGCATGGGTGGGGAGACGCGCGCGCTTGGCCCTCAGCGCCAAGCATTGCCGTGCACGCGCGGTGCACCAGAGTAGGTCAGAGACTTTGCACTGGCACTTGTCAGCGGGCACGTCGTGCTCGAGCGTGCTAGGATTGGCGGCGCCAACAGGTTGATCAGGGAGCGACGTCGTGCCCGGCAGAGGCACGCTGCTGCCGATCAGGGCCAGTGGCAAGATCTTGAAGGCGCTGTTCGCCACGGGTTTGCTCTTGCACCCGTTGCTGCAGTGGCGCCTGTGATGGTAGTCGACGCGATTGTCGCTGTCGCGCAGGTTGCTGCGGTCAAGTAGCACAAGCCACACACAAAAACGCCGGGGCGCTTCGTGCACGCATGGTTGCTATGTGGCCGTGCATAGACAATGCACTGGCGACGCCAGACATGGCCGACCGCCGCTGTAGCGCCCGTTGGCGGCTTGGCATGGGCGCTGGCACGCTTCGGCGGCAATTCGCCAGCGCGCGTGCCATCCCGCACGGTGCGGGCGCGCACGTATCTCGGCGTCGCGGCGTCGAGCGCCTGCGCATTGCGCCGCGCCATACGGGGCGGCGCAACGGTGCGCAGGCGCGCGGGCGCGGCACGTTGCGGCCCGTTGCGTGGCCATGTGGCGCGCAAGAGCGCGCGCCACAACGCGATGCACAACCATATTTGCATCGCGGCGTGCGCAAGAATGCGAACAACAACGTGGCGAACAGCCATATACCCCCTTCCGGGCCATGTTACTCGGGCAGAGGCGCCGGACGGGCCTGGCACCTTGCATGTTATGATGGACTGGGACGTTCCTTGATCAGGTCATCTTGTAGCCGACCGTCGGAGCGACAGTTTCGCTCGCGCGCGCGAGCCGCGATGGCGGCCAGCGCGCGGGCGGGGATCGATTCGAGTGTCGGGAAAGCACGTTTTTAACGATGGTCGTCGTGTCGTTGCACTGGGTCTCGTACATCACGCCAGCCGAACGGGCGCGCGAGGTGGAATATGTCGCGCAGACACCAGACAGGCACCCGAGGGTCGTAGTACTGTCGGGAAGTACTCACTGCCACACCGTGGTCGAGCGATGCTGATGACCACTCATGCGGGCACGTGCTGCCGCGGCGATCGCTACTGAACAAGACAATCCTGTCAGTCCGTTGACAGACGAAGAAAACAACGAGACGAAGGCGTCGATACTGTAGGTCTTGTTCCTCATCCTCCTTGTCTCCTTCCGCCATCTCATCGCTCCTCCTCCTCCTCCTCCTCCTCCTCCTCCTCCTCCTCCTCCTCCTCCTCCCCCTCGTCTTCCTCCTCCTCCTTTTCCGTCCTCCTCCTCATCGTTCTCCTCAGCCTCCTCAACCTCCCTTCCGGAATGAGGAGGTTGGAGGAGCAAGACGAGGTCGCCAGAACCTGAGGCCGCCCAACACAGGGTACGAGCAGATCGGGCTGGAGAAAACACCGCACAACCGATGCCTCGGCGACGACTAAGCGATGCACCAGCGACGCATCGGCGACGCACCGGGGCGGAGAAGACCGGGCCCCATGCCGCGCCGCATCACCGACGCGTCGCGGATGCATCGGCGATGCGGCGCGGCCCTTCGACACACATTTGCGGCCTGGGCAGGTGCCCCCGCAGCGGCCCGAGCGGCCGCAGGAGCCTCCCAAGACAGAAAACTGCAAGTCATATGATTTCTCGTCCTCTCACCTCAAATTGGGGCTTCGGTGCCGCGCGCGCACGCACGCGAGCCGCGGGCCGGCTTGCCTCCTCGGACCTGCCGCCCACTTTGTCGTCGCCGGAGAGCCCCGTGGACAATCCTTTGTTGTCAACCTTGCTGGCGGTGAGTTTCCTACGGGCGCCGCGCGCGCGGGCGCCGCACGCGCGGACGAACGGGCGAGGTCGAGCGCCTCTTCGTCCTGATCCTGTTCCTGCTCTCCTTCCCCCCATCATCATCACCATCAACATCATCATCAGCACCAGCATCATCATCATCAGCATCATCATCAGCATCATCATCATCATCATCATCATCCTCATCATCATCATCATCATCATCATCATCATCATCATCATTCTCATCATAATCATCATTATCATCATCGTCGTCCTCCTCTTCTTCCTCCTCCTCATCCTCCCCCTCAGGATCACAATCACCAACACACCCACAATCATAATCAACATCATCACCACCACCACCACCACCATCATCATCATCATCATCATCATCCGCATTGACATCACCATCGCCAACATCAGAATAACCATCACCAGAATCATCACCCGTATCATCAGCAATAGCACCACCATGCCAAACAATGCTGTTACCCTCATGCGTCATGCTTCTACATGCCACATGCATCCATCACGATGCCACCCCAAGAGGCGATATTCCCACACCTAGACCTCCCGCCCAAGAAGGTGGAGCCAACACTTGCCCCTCGGCATTTCCCCACCTCTAGTTCGCACGACACGCAAAAATCAGTGCGACATCGTAGAGCGGTGACGACTCGAAACACGAAGAATTCGAACTCCATGAGAGGGGCAATCTACAGGAACATACGCGATGATGATGGCGACTCGGGTTGGGCAGGCGTTCAAGCACTGGCTGGGCAAAACAACCCAAATGTGCTCGAACCCAATGGATTATCACTCGGCTTCTGTACATACATATATATATATATATATATATGAGTAGTTGAAGCGGGTTGTAGCCATTGCGTTGCCACGTCTCCCCATAGATCCCCCCGCCGCCCATGCTGCTGCCAGTTGGGCCCCCGGCGGCGCGAGAATAACTGTTCCCATATCGACGCGTGGAGCCGCCGATAATAACACTCGTGCCCATACACCTGCGTCACGCGCTGGAGAGAAGCTGCCCCTCGGCATTGCAACGCTTTACCACCAGCCGCGCCCGGGCACGCGCTGCAATGCGCGCGACATGACTGGCCCAGCGGCATGCTTGCAAAGGGGCTTCCTCGTCCCATCTGAGCTAGGAACCGCTGACTCGGCACCTCTTGAGCTCATAGGCTGACTCGGCCACGTAATCCTCGACGTCCGCCGGCGGTTCTATGAAGTAAGATAGACGGGAACCGAGCACTCGACGCATTATCTTGTGCTCCACTCCGCGTAGACGTGACAAATGTTTCTTCGACAAATGGCAAGTGCCGGCGCTGCGCCACACCGATGGCAACACAAACGCGCGCAACTTTTCGAGCCGCTCCATGACTGGAGCGGACCTGCACAAGAGCAGCGTGGAATGCGGCCCAAGCCCTGGCGGCGCGGCAATCGATCTCCGCCGCGAAGTCGCCAGAACAAGCAATCATGCCGCCCAGAATCTTCATCGCTGCGCCCCGCGACTTGAAGGGCACCGGCACTGCAGGCGACGCCGTCGGAATCGAAAGCATGCTGGGCCAGGCGCTCGGGTCAACGACGCCCGTCGCCAGGGGGCGCGACTTGTGGATGGCCACGAACGCGCCGCAACATCAGCGCTTAGACCAGCCTTGCCCAATGCCGCGAGCACCTTCGAGAGCGTCGCCGGCAAATGCCTGCGCGACTCTGCCGACAGCCAGAAGGTGTCCGCGACAAATATCAAGGACAAGCATGATGTCTCGGCCCTTGCCTGCTTTGCAGGGCGACGAGTCACGCCCGCCCCCGGCGCCGCAAGATCTTCGCGCGAGAGCTCTACGCCCCAACCATGCCGGACACATGTCCATATGACCTAGATATGACCTCCGCGTCTAGCATCCAGTTGAGTTCGCGCGGTGCCCGAGGCCCCCCCTGGAACATGGGCTTCGTCTGCGGCTGGCGCCCCCCGGGGGTGGCCCAGGCAGCTTCGCCACCCCTGCGCCCCGTCGAACTTCCAGGATATTAGCTCCCGCGATCAAGCGCGGCATTCCACGCTCGCCGAATGATCTCGCCCACTCCGCGTGGCCCACGCAATCGTAAGCTTCGAACGCGTCGCCATCCAGCAAGAGCACGTCCGCGTCAATTCCGATTGCCTTCTCGATCACCTGCCCGCGCACGAACTGGACCTCCGCAGCTTGGCAACCACCCCTGAAAATCAAATTGATGTTCGGAAAGAAGGCGCTCTGCCAGACCATCAGAGTCAGCCAGGGCCACGTTGCTCAACCTCACCATCACCGACAGGATTGCGACGGGCCATCACTGCTTCATCCTCCTAGGGCTGGTAACTTTCTCGAACAGCGCGATCTCGCAGGACGCGGAACTGTCGCCGCCCACGGCGCTGCGCATGCGGATTTTGGAAAGTCCGCAAGCATCGTCGACAATATCCTCCAGCAGCGCCAGTAGCATGTCAGCTGTCACCACGTCGTCGTTGCCGCGTGCTTTTCCGATTTCGAGCATCGTCGTCAGTCTTCGCATGCGTCGAGGCGCGAGACGGCTCAGCCACGGCTCGCACTCCGAAGAGGCCTGTCTCCGATGTATCCACTTCGGCGGTGCTGTAGAACCCGCGCTCTTGTAGAGAAGCACAGCATTGCGCGGTCGCGTGCTGCGACGCTGATGTCGATGCGACGCACTGCCCCTGTTCGCCCAATAATTCCCTCCTCCACGCGCGGTTGCGCCAGCCAAGAGTCATAGAACAACCCCGATTCAACGCGTCCTCGCACCGCAAAAAAGAATGCGCTTCGAAATCTGCCGCCCCAGCTCGCGCGCGGCTGCGCCACGCGCGCAGCCCAGAAGAGGTGAGGGAAAAAATGCAAGTCCATCGCGATCTTCAAATCTCTGATGGGGCGACGCGCGCCTGGTGGTCGAAGGACGGGGCGCCTTCTCGGCGCCCCCCACTTTTCGCTCGCATCTCTGATCACGGGGGGGACCTCCCGCGCAGACGGACCCGCGTACAACTCCACGCCAGCGAAGGACGCAGCCGGAAGTCGCACGGAGCCCTGCCCATCCGACGGGGCCCCCCCCCCGCCCCCCGCAAGCATGCCCCGCGGGCGCTCTGAGTCCAGCTGTGGCCCGAACGAGCGCCGCTCCCACGCCCTCCTCCCCCGGTAACTTGAGGCCTGTCAGGCGGTGCTGGAATTGCCCCTCGCCCCGCGGCCCCAAGATGCAAGGGCGGCGCGTGGCTCGGAAAGCTGGTTCTGCCAGCTTGCCCCCGCGCTTGGCCAACTTGTCAGCGCGCTCGTCGCCGAGGTCTCCGCAGTGCGACCCACGCCAAAACCGCCGCCCCATCGCGAATTCGCCGGCCCAACGGGCCAGAGGCGTGCTAAGATCTCTGCTAACTACTTAACAATATTTCTAGTTCGCGCGCGCGGGGCGGCCCCAGGGGGGCCCCGGACGAAAAGCACCCCGGCCGATCCCCGGCCGACCCCCCGGCGATCCCCTGGGGGGAGGCTGGAGCCTGCTTTTTTTTGGGGGGATTCAGGCAAGTTTACTTGCACGGCGTTCGCCCCCCCCCCCCTCGCCCCTCCTCAAGCGAATACCAGCGTGCAAGTGCCTTTCCACTTGCGCGATTTCCGCGCCCCCTCCCCCCCGCCCCCGGGGTGCAAGTGCAAGGTGTCATTGGGGCATCGATTTGGTTATACCTGGGTGTTCTGCCAAGCTCCGGGGAGGCGGCCTCGCGGCACGCCCATGGCAAAGGCTTGAGGCATCTTCCATTCCCGAGAGAACGCCCTCGCACTTGCGCGGCGCGCCCCCCCCCCCCCCCCCCCCCGAACGCGCAAGTCGTTTGCGGCTTGCTTCAGGCTCAGCCCCCCCCCCCCCCGCCCACGCAAGAAAACTTGCGAGAGCGAGAGAGAGAGAGAGAGAGAGAGAGAGAGAGAGAGAGAGAGAGAGAGAGAGAGAGAGAGCGGACAAGTAGGCGGACCAGGGTCCGTCCGCGAGGCGCACTGCGGTGCGACAACTCGCAAACACTATTTGCGGCGGTGCAGCCTTTAGATACGAGGGCGGGCAACAAAAACCCCCTCCCCCGGCGCAGTGCGACAGACGCTACAGACGGCGGACAGACGGTGATGATCTCACCTGTCAGACCGCGTAAAGAAAGAGGCCCCAACAAGAAAGGCGACGTGCTGACACGTGGCTAGGCGGCTTGGCAGACCGCCAGTTGGGCGCTTGGCCGCAAAGCGGCGCGCAGTGACGGGGCACCCCCCGCCCCCACGCCCTGACACCGTGGACGCGGAGCCACGCGTACACACGGGCAGGCAGAAAGGAGGAGATTAGCGCGGGGCACCAGGTGGAGCGCCGCGGAACGATGACAGCATAGCTTGGATGGTGAGTGACGGCACGGCACCATCGGGCGAGGGCGTGAGCAGCTCGGCGAAGGCTCGCCCGGCGCTGTGGAGGCGCTGGAGTAGAGGGCCTTGGCGAGCTTGGGCGGCGGCGAGGTCCGCGGCGAGAGCAACACACCTCTGCTGGAGAGCGGCCATAGCCTGGGACAGCTCGGTTTCGCGGTCGGTGAGGGGTGGCTGCTCAGTGCCAGCGGCCGAGGGCCTCGTGACAGGGGCGAGGTCCTCGGTACGCCTGTCCAGATGGTGGACTAGCGTAGTACGGCACCCTGTATGCTGTCGTCCGTCACCCTTGAAAGGTGACTGGAGGGGAACACGCGACCCCAGGGCTGGAGCCGCTAGGGCCACGCCCCGAGAGGTCGGGAGAGCCGCATCCTCTCGCTCAGCAGCGATGGAAGCGTGGACGGGGTGCGAGGGCCTGTCTGGTTCAGTGCCCTGCGGGGGGGCTGAAGCCGCCCCCGCGGGCTGCCGCTGGTGGGGGGGCGGAGTGGTTTGCGCGGTGGGACCATCATGATGCCGTGCGAGGGCTCTGAGGTCAGCCGCGTAGTAGGGTGGCGTCTCGGTAGGGCGGCATGGTCGGCAGCGTGGGGTGTCGGCGGTGCGTCGTCTA